TTGGAAAGATCATATGATAGAACTTAAAAAAACGGGATTGTGGTGGTAAATAGAGTATGGAGATAAGAAGAAAACAAATGTAAAAATGATTTTAACAGAAGCAAGATGCTGTTTAACTATGTGATTAAAAGTGTTATGTCATGTGGGGCAGAAATAGTGGGATATGAGGAGAGGAAGGTATTGGAAAATGTACAGCTTGATAATTTTAGGTGAGTTCTGAAGCTGGATTTTTGTACACCGAGGTACATAGTTTATGAAAAGTCCTGCATTGAGAAATTGTCTAACGCATGGCGAGTCAGAGCATAAAGATACGAATAAAAGGTACAAGACTTTAATGAAAGTAGACCACTTGGGGTTAATCATAGAGAGAAAGAGAGACTGGATGAAAAGGATTGATATTGTGTGGAAAGGAAAAATTTTCTATAATGATGTAGGTTTAAGTACGTTGGCTGTTAATTTAGGTTTAAATTTAGAAAAAGATATTGTACCAGATATTATTCAAAGAATCAAAGAGATAGAGGACCAGGTATTAAATTACTTATCAATATGCGAAGACCATGACCAAAGAAGTTCTGAAGTACCTAACTAAATGAAGAAAGAATGGCGATATTGGTGTTATTGCGAAAATAAAATGTGCTAATTTTGAAACATATAAAGGCGAAAGAAAAATAATGTATACGTTGTAAAAGAGAACTAAGCACTTTGCAGCATACTATAAATAGGTGTGAGGTATGTATAAGTTGGTATGAGAATAGAATAGAATTAAAACATACTTTAAGTAAATATGTAACAAGCGAGTTTAGAGTAACAGAAGTAATAAAACTGATTAAAAGGTATAAGAAAGAGTGTAAAGAAGCGTTAGGTTCGGTTTGATCGTGTATGAAATAATTTCAATAATATTTTAGCCACAAAGTCTAGTATGATATTTTAAATGCTGATTTACTTTCCTTGTTAAATTATGTGAAGTAAAGTACAAGAATCCACTTCCGTTATATATTTTCTCAAGATCAAAATCCTAAAACCGTTGATTTACTCTAGTGCATAATGCGCAGTAGATAGGCTAAGCTGGTTCTGGAATCAACCCCCCTAGGGTGGTAGGAGGGATGGGGAGCTCATACTGTTGTACGAGTGCTTTTGACCTTGGTGGTGGGGGGAAAGTGTTAGTGTGACAGCTCGCGCTGTTGAACGAGGGTTCCAGGGCATCGTGGAGGGGGAAACAACATGAACAAGTTCTTTTTTCTCTCTCGCTCCGAGATTTGTGGATGGGGACACTGCGTGCTAAGCTCTCTCGCTCTTACCTTAGGCTCTTACTTTGCTCCGCAGAGTGCTCACTCTTTTTTCCTCCTGCTGTAAGACAAGGTTTCAAGCGCTCTATGTATGTGTATGTATGCATATATGTTCGACCTCTCATGCACACGCTTGCGTATACACCTGCACAGTTGCACACTCCTACGGAATAACATCCATGCTTATACGTTACTCTTGTACAAGCACACGCGTACATGCGCTAGCGTAGGCATGCACCATGCATAAGCATACAAGCTCTCATATGAGGATAGATAAGTATATTTACAATCTTGAATTATTATACAGATAGCAACATAGCTTAACGTTCAAAAAATTTGCATATGTACATGCCGTTGTTGTGAAATTGTGTGTCTCACCCGTGGTCTATAATATGCAAGTTTTCAATAGCTTAGTTGGTGAACTGTCTTATTGGTATAAAGTGGTCAATCGTATTGATCTGTTGGAGAGTCAAACTTTTAATTTTTTTTTATTTCAATTTATCAATTAATTTTGAAAAAATAATTTCTAATTCTTGTAAGCAAGTAATAAGGGAAGGTTGCGCACAGGTAATTTGAATAAGAATATAATGTGTTCGTTTACAACATTTATTGATTATAACTTTACTTCAACATGTACAAGTAAAAATTTAGTATATTATTTTTAACAATATGCTGCACAATCGACGACATCTTTACTGATAAACTAGTCTGGATTTTTTTGTATTTATAATGTTTGTATGCACTATAACACTCATCACTATGGTTTTTGAAGATAAAATCTTGATAAACCATTATTTCAGTTAGTATGCTTTATGTAATGCACAAAATCGCTGTTTGTTTTCGAAATGCTGTTGTACATTTGTAAGGCATAAGGATGAAGAGTTATCTTCAATTGCTTCCAAGGAAAGACAAATTGTTGACAAATCATAAACTTCACGTGCTAAGTGTGAGCTAACTTACCTGGCTTCGCCATTACCACACACATGAATTCTTTTACGATTTTCAGCAAGAGTAGTAAGATAATATTTTAAATCATTCATTGTAATGTCACCATCATACCACTCAAAACCATGCACTTCCAGCGTCTGATGATTATTATATAATTTCACTTTGTGCGATAGTTCAATGCAAGCGCAAGGTGGTTTGATCATCCAATGCCCAAAAATATTTCTTTGTAAAGATACCACTCTAACTTCTTTCGGTCTGTAATTTTCATCCGCACCACTAAAGCATTGAATATCTATGATGAAATCCATGATGCTAAAACTACTACACTCTTTTATAACCTTTAATTTTAGAAAAAGATTTTTCATTCGATGAGTATCTATCAGTTGTGATTAAAAAAAAAAAACGAGAACAATGATTTATTTTTCTCCTTCTCGTCTTTGCCGTTGACGATGGGCTTCTTCTCCTCTTTGCTGTGACTCTTTCCACTTTTCCACATTGCGAAAAACTGACGGAAATATGTTAAGCAACCACTATTTATAACCTCTTTTCATTAAAGCTAGTGACATCTTCCCATTCTACTTAAAAATGTAATTTTTTCATTATCTTAATATTGTGAATTGCACACATGAATTTATACGAACCATTATGATGTGAGCATGCGCTTGCCAAAACTGGTAGCTCAAATGGTGGATAGTCCGCCATATCAGTAACTTGAAAGTTAAATCGCTTAAGCCATTTTTTCTTTATCTCACCGATCACAAAAATATTTGAAGCATGTTTAAGATTCTCTCGAAGCACGTTGCCAATTTCTGTGTAGTTTATATCACCTGATTGTCAATCTAGTTTATGATAGTTGAGCTCAAGCCATAAATTCAATCGTTTGTATTTATCAGTTAATTTACGCCAAGAAAATGGCGGCTTAAAGAGAAAATAAATTTTCATTAAGCGAAAGAATTGCCAACTCTTTTAACACATAATCATTACCAGGCTTCTTAAAGCCCTGCATATCTGCGACGTACTCCATCACGATAAAGACTAACTTGAATGGCTGATGCCAAAGTATTTTAATCCCCAGATAAGCCTAGACAAGTTTTTTCACTTCTCCACTCACAGAATTATTTTCAACTATACGATCGTGTAAAATTAGACAATACGCAGCTGTTTCTTGCGGGAAATTAGCTTTTGACTCCAAATTCCAAACGCACATCGACTAGCGCGCTTTTCAAAGCTTCATTTTGTTTTGAGTAGTTACTAATGATAAGGGGCATGTGTGTAATGAAATCTTTTTTACCAACCATGGGTTCTATTTCTTTACCATAGTATGAATTTTGAAAATTTGTATACATACTGTAGAGTAACGCAAACTGATTACTATCAGTATTGAGATCGAGATTGCCGTAGAAATAATACTGTGAGTTAAGGAGTAATTTAACATTACATATACCACTATGATCAAAGTGGCTAGCATTTATTGCTTTTTGACCCTTACGATTTGTTTTGCAATGACATCAAGCAGGTGAATTTTTCGCCTGTCTGACGCATTAACATAAGGCATGAGCCATTCTATACGGATCAATGAAATTTTAAAATCCTTGGAAGCATCATCATCTGCAGCTGTTTATATAATTGCATTTTAGTTATTTCTCGATCTTGTAAAAATCAATTCATGCTTTCCGCTTACAACAACTTAAAGATAGTCTTCAGAAAAGCCAAGTATCATAGAAACGTCAAAATAACCTGCATCATTTATCAGTTTGCTTGTCTCTGCAATATCTAACCAGCCCGCATTTTATAGCATTGAATTTTGAGTGTGATAGTGTGACACCCAACCCTTCATCAATGTTGTTGTGCCAACATTTTTGCACTTATGTATTTCAATGCCGTTGAGTTCGTAGCGTATTTCTTCAAACAAATGACAAATAGCATTATTAACTAATGCAGTTCGTTTAACTACAGCATCATTGGCCAATGTGAGCCTTTCACAGACATGTAGAGCACTGTGCGAAGGTAACAGACATAAATCCTCATGTTAAATCGAAATACGAATTTTATTACTATTATTAAATGCCGATGAAATGTATCGTTAATAAGCATGAATTTCATCGTGTGCAATTAACTCGTCAAATGCCACACTTGACTGAATGTTTAGAATGTCTTCCATTTTTAAGCAGCAGGAAAATATGCAGATAAATTTTAGCCACGATTATCTTAAATCCTAGGCTTTGTAGGAACTGTGCGTTTTGGTGTGTTAAATCTAATTTTAGTTGGAATTTTTTTTATCCGAGAAGTGCCAATAATAGATGCAAAATTTAAAAAACTGGAAACGTTTTATAATACACTAAGATGCTCCATTCAGAAAATCTCAGGCGATGCCAAGATGGTTCTGCTAGTTCATAGATATTTACAGAACAATCTGAGAGAGTAACCTAATGTTTCTTGTCTGGTGTGTTAAAATAAGGGCTCTAAGCCTGCTGATCTGATTTCGTAAAGGGTACATTCTATACGTTAATATTCTGCTCTTTTTTTTACTATATAATATTTTTAGCATGTGAAGTAAAAGTGCAAAACAAATTTAATATTACAAAAATAAGTTAGAGGAAAGCATAATGAGAATTTATCTAGATTTTTATTATCTTCGTCTAAAGTGGCACAACTTGGCATGAACTGTGCAGTTCTTTTTTATATGATGTATTTTTATAAATGATCATTATTACAAAACAAAACAAAAGTACGAATTTCTGACTCAATAAGTTAAAAATTTTTTAGCATTGCTTCAGTGATGCGGAAATCTGGTTGCACAGTACCTAATTACATGTTTTCTACAAAAACATTAAGTAAGAAAAAAAGACGAAAAATAGAAAACATCGCACCTGAAAGACAAAACACATGTACCAGTTCAAATTTTGAAAGATGTTCTAAGTAAGTCTTAACTCCAAATTTTACTTTCATCATAACTTATACATATAATTAAAATATTTTTCTAGATTAAGACATCATTAAAAAAAAAATTTTTGAAACAAACAGTAAAGAAAGGCTCAGTTAAATCAAAATTGAACACGAAGTAGATGGAAAGCGTGAGTTACATCAGTTACAAATTAAATAAATCCAAAAGCTAGGTAGCAAGTATTAAATCTTGAGTTGTTCAATATTTAACCTAAAACTGAAATAAAAAATACGTTTTATTTTTTAGCCTAAGGCTTTCGTATTTCTTTTGTTTTGCAATATCAATTTAATCCCTATATTTCACTTCACTGTAAGCTTTGTCTGTACGTGTACATTCATTGGTTTTGATTCAAGTGATTTCTGGCAAAAAATGAGTTTTTCATATCGTAGATAATACGATTCTCAGACTAAGCTGAAGAAACGATAAATGTACAAACTAATGATTCAATTAACGAATAAAATAAAAAATAAAAAATTTTTTGCGATGAACAGCTTGTTGATCTAGTTAGGGGGAGCCTTTCAACTCCCCTGTGAGAAGATAGTTTACTATACATTATTTCCATATCTTGTGTACCTATCTGTGTAGTTTAACTATACATATTATCTCTAAGTGAGAATCATTCGTGGTGTAAAGTCGGCACACACTAACAAATTTTTCACAGCAAGCAAAATACGGTTTCCAATAAAATTTTTTACTATCTTAACAACTTTCTAACGTAAAATATCATTAATACATACAAATGCAAAGTGAAAACATAGTAAAAATTTAAAAAATTTTAGATTCTTCGTATATACAATTTAGGATACTTTGAAGTTTTTGCTAAGGTATATTAAAATATACATCCAATAAGTTTCAAAAAATTGAGAAATGACAAAAAAAATGTAAGTACAAAGTTTTTTTTTCAGAAGTAATAAGAATTTGAAAACCAAAACAAAACTAAGTAAAATAATTTTCATCAAGGAAATCTGCAAACATGACTGATTTCGTATATTAACACACTCTCAAAGGCCCTAACAAAATTTTTTTTCGTATTTCATAAATTAGAAGTGTCATAGCAGAATGAAAAAATGACAAAAATCTGAAAAAATCACTTTTTTATAGAACTTGACCTAAAAAAATTATTTTTATCTCACTTACAACAAATTTTTTTTACGCTAATTTGTGAAGAAATATAAAAATAGAAAATTAAACCACTAAGTTGAAATTGGTTAAGAGTATCTAAAGATAGAAATGTTTACATGCACACATGTTATGATTAATAAATTCAACAAGATGCGTTATATTTTGCATCACAATTTTCGTAAAAAAAAGTAACTGACAAGCAACTACCTAGTTCTTTGATAAAAGCTTTTCTACGAAGTAGGTTTGTACGAATAGGTGGATAAAATGTTCGAAGTCTCAACTCTTAGTGGTATTTTTTTACAACAACGTCCATACAGGTAAGTGGTAACATTATCAAATTACAACAATGTTCTTTCTTGCTTTTTTCGCACTCTTTTCTAGATTATAACATAACTCACTTGTTAGTACATTCGACTGTGTTGACTTAGTTATAATTACTTATTTTGAAACTGTAGTAAATAAAGAGTTTGACAATTGAAGGGCCGGATGCAATAACATGCTAAGCGCTCGAAACAGAGTATAAGTTCACGACCTAGGGGACGATTTTCCAAAGTCTATGAATCTTTGAAAAAAAATACAAGCTATTAAAAAATGACAATCCACATCTTTTTTGTATTTACAACTTTTAAAAAGAAGTCATACTTTTTGAGATAAAAAATAAAAACCCATCTTTTCAAACACCTAGATTCAATAGTTTTTATAACACAAATCACCGTATCTCAGTTATTTATGCTCGAAACCATTCGAAATTTGGCATGGATACGTAGAATACTTTAGCACTTTTGATAAAATGATCAGAGTTTGAGAAGCTCATCACAATAAATAAATAAATATTTAATAAAAAATAGGCAGTGCACTATATACCTAACTTGCAAACTTCAACGAAAAAAAGTGTGCGGGGAAGTTTCAGCTTGGCAAAACGTTCAGCGACAAAGTTGTTCCTCTAGGTTGGAAGAAGTTTTGTACGAATTTTCAGATCAATCCGTTTATAATTAGTCGAGACACAGTCATTTTAGTATGGACGCAAGATGTAAACAATGCCAGCGCTGCGCCGCCCCAGCTGCCACGCACCCTAACCTAATATTGAATACACGTTCAACGTACCACCCAGCTTTCTCAGTTTCTTGAAAATAGTATATTAAAGTAATTAGTTGAGCTATCACATCAAACATAGAAAGTAGAAATCCACCAAGAGGTCGAAAGAGAACAAGAAATAAGGATGATTGGCAGAGACACAAGGCTAAAAAGTGTCGAAACGGGGTAATTATTTTATTACTGAGCCACGTTGATGAGAAATAAAACTCTATGATTTCTGAGAAAATTTTAATGTTTTTTGTGAGAAGTTTGTTTTTAATTATTTTGGACGAATTTTTTTCAACATAATTGTCACTTCAATTTAACATTGTTTACAACCTCAACTTAAACCTTACTCTTCAATTACTATTTTTTAGTGTATACATAAAAAATTTAACATTTTATTGCACAAATCTCTTATTACTTTTTACAGGGATTAGAATACATGTCAACGACTGGAGAAATTGTACCTAATAAAGAGTTCATCAAAGTTGAAGCTTGTTGTCCTCGTAAATGCTATTTGAAAATCGACGTTAAAAAGCAAAGAAAAATGTTTAATGATTTTTGGAGATGTGGCGATTATAACGCACAGAATGTTATGTCAACTAAAATAGTAGAAGAAAAGTAAACTGAAAAATAGTACAATCGAAAATAGGGGATTTATCATTATTATTGCAATGGTGTAGATACAAACATAAGTCGACAGTTTACTTGCAGCGTTTTTTAAATTGGAAGACAAAGGGTAGATTCCCTGAAAAATAAAATTGTTAACAATGCATGTTTACATGACAATCGAGAGAAACACAGAAATCAACTCGTCAAATGAACCGATGACGTGAAAATTTTGATACGACAGCATTGTCATAGTATTCCACATTCTGAATCACATTATTCGTAAGAAGATTTAAAATTGAATTACTTTTTTGATAAATCGTTGAATTTGCACATTCTATATACTTCATTTTTAGAATACTACTCGTCTGTTACAGTCAATACTGCTGACCCTATTGATGAATCAACATATTCAAAATATTTTAATCGTAACAAAAATTTTTCTTTTAATTTGCCACGAACTGATGTTTGCGACCTGTGTTATAGTTATGAAACTAATGGTAGTCAAAATGAGAAATATGACAAACACAAACTTGATATGGAAAATTATAAAAAGATCCATTGGGAAATGCAATTTTTTCCATCTTATCTGTGCAATTACAATTAGAAATTTAACATTTATTTCCTGTGAGAGGTCACTCATATTATCAGTGTGATAGGAATTTTGGTATTTACGGTAATAAAAATAAATTTAGAGAAAGCATCGAGACGAAAAAAGAATATACTAAATTGATTGAGTCATCTCGAAATCTTCCATTTGTTATGGTAGATGCTAAAAGCTGCAAAGTAAATAATTATGAAAGTTTATTGGTAGCTAAAAAAGAATTAAGAAATGTAAAAATTAGTAAAGTCGTGAAAATTAATTATTCCCTAACGGACATGTAAACATATACTATTTATACATAGAAAATCCGACAACAATTCAAATCTATAAATCTCTTAAGTCTGAAATTTTTTCAAAAGTGACAATAGCAAAAGAAGTAGAAGTAAACAAAGAAAATTTGAAAGATTATCAAAATTTGTTGAAATATTGTACTCCGAATAGACAAGATAATCGAAAAGAATTTTTAAACTCCACATCTGTTGAAAATAAAATATGTAAAGAAGAAAAATCAAGTATCAATTCAAATAATAAAGAATTACATCAACAATGTATAACAAAAAAAAAGACTTATCGAAAACTATTAAGCTGACTCTTGAAAAAAAATAAACAACAACAAAAACAAAGTAAAAATTGAAAAGAGAAAGAAAAAATGATGTAACTACTTTAATAATGGAAGTAATATGGTTCTTCACCATACGCGTATTCAAATATTTATATGTCAAATGTAATATTATCCAATATACAGTTTCTAGTTGTCATAAGAACGAACACTTATATATGAGTTATTGTATATGTTTGTAAACAATTCGGTAATGAATTACTGAACTGATAAAACTATTTTTAATCCGCAGTTTAATTTAAAACAGCTCTTTCGTCGAAATGGAAAAATTTTTTAAGGTTTTCTCACAAAACATATATGTACATATATGTGTATGTATGTGTATATATTTATAAAAGTATTTGATGCATTGTGTCATTAAACATTATTTTACGGTTTCAGCATCATAGTTATTCCCATCAGTGCAAACTAGTTTATAATAGTGTATACTCAATATTAGGTTAGGGTGCGTGGCAGCTGGGGCGGCGCAGCGCTGGCATTGTTTACATCTTGCGTCCATACTAAAATGACTGTGTCTCGACTAACTATAAACGGATTGATCTGAAAATTCGTACAAAACTTCTTCCAACCTAGAGGAACAACTTTGTCGCTGAACGTTTTGCCAAGCTGAAACTTCCCCGCACACTTTTTTTCGTTGAAGTTTGCCAGTTAGGTATATAGTGCACTGCCTATTTTTTATTAAATATTTATTTATTTATTGTGATGAGCTTCTCAAACTCTGATCATTTTATCAAAAGCGCTAAAGTATTCTACGTATCCATGCCAAATTTCGAATGGTTTCGAGCATAAATAACTGAGATACGGTGATTTATGTTATAAAAACTATTGAATCTAGGTGTTTGAAAAGATGGGTTTTTATTTTTTATCTCAAAAAGTATGACTTCTTTTTAAAAGTTGTAAATACAAAAAAGATGTGGATTGTCATTTTTTAATAGCTTGTATTTTTTTTCACCGATTCATAGACTTTGGAAAATCGTCCCCTAGGTCGTGAACTTATACTCCGTTTTGAGCGCTTAGCATGTTATTGCATCCGGCCCTTCAATTATTCACTTTGTCATAACCAACAACCCATAAACATAGTAAAAATAGTGCATTTATCTGTCACGCAATTGGTTTTTTTGAAGCTATGCAGCGCAGAAGATAAGTCCATTCCACAGCATTGAATATTCCTATTGCTATCTTACCTAGAA